GGCGGGGAAAGCCGAGGGGGCTCGGGGGGGAGAGGCCTCCTCCCTGAGGGAGGGCCCCGGCGAACGCCCGGCTGTTAACGTGAGGGCACCTAGGGGCGATGGTAACCTTGGGTGCCTGGAGGCAGGTTAGGGAAGGTGACTTCCCGAAAGCCGTGCTTCCTGGCTCTTTATTCCCCCTTTCTACCTCAGGAACGGAGTTGAGTGTGAAATTAATCTGTGCTTGCTGCCTGGACGGGCGCAGTCATAGATATGAGTTTTTGTGGAGGTGTTAGGATTTTTTTTTTCAGTGTTCTCACGTTGTGTGACTTCAGAGAAACCTGTATCCGGGTGTGTGTGTGTTGGTGTTTTTTACACCTGTGTGTCTCGTGTCAAATTTGAGGAGTGCATGAATACAAAGGTGACTCTTCTAACTGCCGATTAGGTAATACCAAACTGAGGTCTGAGTATTAAAATGTTCCTCTTCTGATTCATGCTTTACTACCCGTCACAATCCCGTGAGCTGGAGTTTACCCAAGGCTGTGCCGGTGCCACTCCATGGGCAAACTCCTTCTCCATGAATGAAACGGGCGGTGGTTTTGGAGTTTAAGCCTTGATGTCTGTCTTGCAAACTTTTCTGCATGGACAGACCCCTCTGCCTGTTTAACCTCTACGAAGCCCGCGAGTGCTCTGTTCTTGAGTGATAACCAGCAGGTTATAAAGCATCCTGGGAAGCTGCCACAAATCTAGTTTAGCAAGGTGACTTGATATATCAAGCTAGACCAGAATCAGACTTGCAGTCCTGAAACTCCATCAGTGCTGCACTGCCTGAGATAATGTGATGTAACGCTGACGAATTGTTAAAGATAATAAAATAAGCATTTTTTGATACTGCATATGAAGAAGATTGACTCAAGGGTTTGTGGGGTTTTTTTCCCAAACCGTATACTTTTGTGAAGATAATTTCAGAAATTAGCCCTTCTAAAAATAGTCTCTGTAACTTGTTCTTTTCGTTGTCATTTTTCTGTGCAGAACTGTGTGGAGAGTTCAGGCCATCTTTGAGCTGTGCTGCTACACCTTTGTACTTTTAAACTGTTTGTATCACAGAGAAAAATGCCTCCCAGAATTCTGTGTCATCATAATTTGAGTCAATTTTGCACACAACGGATCCTTTGCTCTAAAAACTCCTTACTTCTTAAACTAGCAAGATCTGTAAAACTGACTGAACAGTGCATGTTTAAATCCGTTTACTCAAACAGCTTTGATATGCTAAACGGAGTGTAACAGTTTGTGTAAAGTAGGTTTTTGTTGGGAGGAGGGAGTTTTGAGCTGCTTTTAGAAATAGCAACTGGAAGTTATTTTAGAGCGTACTTGCATTTTTTTTTTCACCTGTAGGTATGTAGAAACATTTGTACAAGAATTCTTTTTTATTTTGTAGGGTTGATCCATATGGGTTTGAAAGGCCAGAAGACTTTGACTATGCATCCTATGAAGCGTTCTTTTCCAGATATCTAGTGGTACTCACTAGAAGAGCAATAAAATGGTCCAAGCTCCTAAAGGGGAATAACCGTATACAGAAGAGTTTAAAAGGTGAGCTGTATGTGCATTTATAGGTAAAAATGCATTATGCTGGAACCAATATATATCGTATTAAATTGTTTTGCATGTTTGAATGTTAAATACTAATTTTGTCTTTAAATGAAAAAGTAGTATAAACAGTAATAATACATAAGCATGTATCCTGCTCTTAGGGGGATCATTGATTGATTTAAAGCTTGCAAAGGAGTAATCCTCCTTTACCACATGCTATAATACCTTATTACATCCATAACCCAGAGATTATGGCCACCGGCACTTCAAGATGCTGTTTTACAGCTGTTTGTTGTATGGCATTCTGCTCTGTGCTCTCTTTAAAAAGACATGAGATTATGTAGAAGACACTGTCTTAAACCCCAGGGATCAGGATGTTCGGGCTCTCAGTTGCTGACTCTGACAGTTTCTTAGATTGCTGAGATTTTGTAGCTCTCCTTAACCTCCTTTTGTAAGATGACATTCACCTCACAGCTAAAAAGGTGTGTACTAAGAACTGATGCTAAATGCCTTACGAAGCGAAGAAAGTAAAATTAATGCAGGAGCTAACGCAACATAGGACAAAATGCTGATGGAACTGTCAATGGCCACTTCAAAAAGCAAGGAAACCTCTAGTAATGTTTTATCTTGCAAGAGAGACAGGGAGAAATAAATGGAGGGAGTCAGAAGGTGGCAGGGAATCCTGTGGAACTAAAGCGGGGGGAGGGGGGGTGTTGCCCCTCACTCTTTCTCTGGGTTATTTTTTCGTATAAGCATCTAAATTTTCCTCTTTGCTCTTAATGATGCTATTCAGCTTGCTTTCTCTTGGGAGTCTTTTGGAGTTGGGCAGAGTTCTCTGTACGTATGTTAAAGAAAAAGTGAGTATAACTAAGCAAAAGTGAAATTAGGCACCAACCGTAACATAGCTGAATATTTAGAGCTGTGCTTCAGATGCAGACTTTGACTGCTAATTCTGGTGCTTTTGTTGTTTTGGGGTCATTCTTTTTCCTTGGCACCATGAAAGGGATGATAACTAGCAAGACATTTTAAGTGTAACAGTGTATTTAGTGTACAGATGTCTGTTTTATAGCTGAGGAATCCCAGAAAATATAGGTTTGAGCTATAACTGCCAGATCATATGCTGCTAACCAGAAAGTAGCTACTTCTACTCTATTCTTTTTCTTCTAAATGTAAAGAAGCTTTTGTTTAGGGTGTAAAGTTTGAATATAGTGATAACTGTGCAGTATTTTGAATTTGTGAGGATTTTGAGATCCTGCAGAACTTAGTCTTCTAGTTGTTGTGGAAAAATAATCTCAGGTTTTGATTCATCTCCTGCTTCTCTTAAAATGTGTGAACTGTGACAGCAGCGGCTTTTAGCAATTTCTGTGAGTTCATTACATTTCTCTTCCCTTGTGTTCCCTGTTCCAGCACTGTAGACACAGAATGCTACTCTGATACAAACAGTGTGAATGCTTTTGGACTTATTTTAGAGCCCAGACTTGTCCACCAGACTTCGGTACTGGTGCTCACGCTGCCCCGTTAGCCACGTAATGGCAGTAACCATTAACACGGTTTTAATCTTCTCCTAACAGGCTACTGTTTGTGAAAAATGAGATACCATAAATCCACTGAAGGGACACAGGCAATGACTCTTGACTATAGCAAGGCCTTGCAGGCTGGTGCATCACCTTTGACGTTACTAACTGCTGCTAGAGATACTTGGATTTGTAGACTATGCGTTCTCATGTATATATGTAATACGTAGTTCTAAGGAGAGTGACTGGAATAAATAAAGTTGAGGAAGTGTAAATTCAAAGTTGATACAATAAGCCTCCTCGTTATCCTCAACCGATGCCTCAGAAGAGGAGCGTGACAGATTAACCTGTACAATTACTGATTGTTAAACACTTCCCTTCTTATTAAGATTGAAGTCTGTGGCATATGCATGTAGAATTATGTAAGCAGTTGTTTAGGTGTGTGCTTTATCCTGCAAGATGATCCTGCAGTGATTTCCGTGCAGGCAGTCAGAGCAGAAGTTCTGCCTGGTGATGCACTGAATTTCCTTCCTCCAAGACCTGACTTCATTGCTCTGAAGCTTTGCTCAGGAGCTGCTGGTTCTAATTAACTTCCCCTCTGCTGCAAGGCAGCCATAAGCTAGAACTGAGAATAACATTTGATTTGCCGCTTCTCACCCCAGATGCAACAGCTGTAGCTGCAAACCCATATCCTTATTTTGAGTTCTACTGGGGCCTTTTCAAAATGCATCCTGCTGTGAGTAGACACGAGAGAGGCATTGTACATGTGGTATCTCAGTAGCTCCACACCCATTTGTCTTTGAACATAGAGAAGCTCATAATTCCTGTCCAGGTGAACAGGAAGAAGTGATGACTTGTGTTAATTTGCCAGTTTGGAAATGTGGCGTGTTCACATGCTACTGTGTTTGCCTCGTATCCAGGGTGGTATGTATGTATATGATTCTGTTCTACTGTAAAGAAAAATAATTAGACTATGTTTTAACAACAGTAATTAGGCACTGTATCCTGTTGTTCTGATTACAGCCTTCCAGCAGGGTGGGTCATGGGAATTTTCGCTGGCAGTTCCTTTTGCTCGTTCTCCAATCTTTTCCTTTTTGTTATTTTTCTGGGATTTCGTTTCCCTCTCTACCCTGTTACCCTTCACTGTCTCCTGTGCACATGTGAATTTAAAGTCAGTGTTTGGTGACTTTCCTCCTCTCTCTCTCTCTGCCACTACTGAGATTCACTTAATTTCCATTTTTCTCCATTCAGCTGCTATCTTCATGGGACCAAAGGACAGCTTTCTGCTCTGGGCAGGCAACAAGCTGTCTGACATAATGGCCCAAAGTAGCTTGATTCTGACCAAAAGTGTGCTACGTAAAAGAATTTGGCTGTAAGTGGATTGATTAGTTGGCACTGACTAGTAGCAGAAGGTGCTTTCTAGTCTTTGAGGCTGATAAAATACAGTGAAAGGTGAAAGTAATGGTACCAAACAGTGGTTATAACAGGAGCGCTTCCATTCCAGCTCAGGGGTTGGAGGAAGGAAGGAAGGAGCATCTTAGAAAGTTAGTTTTTGTTTTTGACTGTAACTTGAACATTTACAGCATGCATCTGCTGTTTCTGTGGTGTATTGTTAAAATAAACCTTTCAATTCCTTGTTGTATGCTGTTTTCAGCTCTTTTGTAGAATTTTTCCTCTAGGATCCAATTTAGTTTCCTCATTGTTAGTAACTGAAAAGTGCAGATGCTTCTTGAAATCACACTCTTGTAATATTTTAGATGAGGTTATTTTTATTTTTTAAATAAAGGGGTTTTCCTACATACACTCAGTTTATGGTATAGAGTGAAACAATGTTAATGGGGGGAAAGATACATACAACTTTATCTAGGAGAAAAAACCTCCAAAATTATCATATTCTACCATTAAACAAGGACAGACAGGTTTAAAGTGACTTACTTAATTTTAAATCTTGTTACTATAAGTAGTATACAGTATTGGAAAAATGTTATTTTCTGCATATTTTTCTCTTGACGTTACTCCGGGTATTTATCAGCACTTCTAGACTACTACCCTGTCATGTAGCTGTTTTTTCTTGTAACAAGAAAAACATGTGAATAAAGTGTGACTCTAAACCTGCAGAAATTGGCGCTGGTTGTCAGGGGTAATAGAATTATTTAGGCTGCTTTTGTTTGCTTAAAAATTGCTGTTTCATATTTTATTAATGAACAGAGGCAAAAATTTCCCATGAAGATATTTCTTCATTGCACGTGTTTTAAAGCTTAGAATGCATTGTGTACACTGTAGTGTACTGGGAGTGATTCTGTGTGCGGATACTCAGAGCTTGGTGGTATTCAGCAGTGCTACTTTTGGGATCAAGCCCTTGGTTTACAGTTGGAGTCAGATGTGTGATTGGAGAGGCATGCACAATCCAGCTTCATCTGCAAAAGCTTCTTAAGTGTTACAGTGGGAGGATATTCTGCAGTATGGACTGTTGTTGTGGGCTTTTTAGTTCCTGAGGATAATGTGGAAGAGGGCCTACAGAAAACAAAATACATATGTATTTGTATAAAACAATATGATTTTATATATAGAATGACGTATATAAATAACATATAAACACATTAAATTGCAGCTGTCCTTATTTTTAAAACTACTTTGCTGCTTGTGTATGCCAGTTTGCAGATCCTGGCAAGTATGATAATGGCGTGAGGAAGAAAAGCACCATGTAAAGGGTTTTTCCATTCCTCAGGGAGCGGGGGAGCTGGGGCAGGTAGTCACTTGGGGCGATACAAGCTTCTGGCTGTCTATTACCATGAGAACGATGACACTGAGGAATAATGAGTGTATGCTGTGCTGCAGGGCTTCTTTGCCCTTGTGCCAGTGTAAAAGGGCTTGTCCCTGGTTTTCTTGAATTTAATGTGTATTGTTGGATGTGGATGTTGGCTATGCTTTCAGAATTGTCAGTTGTTCCAGAAAAAAATACCAATGAAATTCTATGTTAGAATATGATAATCCAGTAATTTAGCCAGTAAATTTGCTTCTAGAGACATTTGCAGGCTTAGCCGAACGTTGCTTCTTGTTGACCTAAATGGGATTGGTTCCTCATACTCATTCTTGCATTTGCTATGTTCATCTATAGGATTTCTTGAGCATTAGAGTTCAAAATCTTGTAAAAAAAAAAAAAAAAAAAAAAAGATTATTAAACAACCATGGAAAGAAGTAAATTATTTCCAATCTGTCTAAAATAAGGTTGTAGTGAAAGTTACTTTACAACTAGAACAGTAGAGACTGTAACCCATAGTATAAATCCTCATCGAAAAGCTGAACAAAAGCTGCACTCTGAAGACCAGGAAAATGTTAAGGCTAGGACCGTTTCTTTGAGAGAAAGCACCAGGCTTTAGATGGGTGAAATGCCCATTAGAGATGCATGGACCTCTCTGTTGACACTGGGAAAGCTGGTTTGGCTCCTGAAGGATAGGCAGCTGCAATTAGGTGGAATGTGTTTAGAAGGTGGCTGGCTGAGTTGTTATAAAACCTTGTTTCACTCTGCTGTTTTTAAGGCCTTTAATTCAGGCAGAATTTATCTTGAGTTACAGACCTTTGTGATTGGATAAAACCAGATTAGGTAATGATATTTCGTGTGTGTCTGTGTGTGTCTAGGCAGCATAAAAATCGTCACTCTCATTTGAGTGACATAGAATTAAGGGAGGAGAAGTTGATACTCTCACTGATACAGTCTCATTCATTTAGTAAGAAACATCTGGTTCGTTTGTCAGTTTCTTTACCCTGGAAAAAGCAGAAGGTTCTCAAACGTTCCTGTCTTTTTGGGTCAGAAGGGGTAATGCAGATTTAGGGTTATGTGCCAATCAGCAGCATTGGCTCCTTGTTAATATTTTTCATACCATTCCCAGGAGGAAGCTGCTTTGGCTGTCATTAGCTTGATGCTTCTTCCTGCAATCTTGCATCCTAATTATTTACACTGAATCATCTGCTTAAAAAAAAAAAAAAAACAACCCAAAGCACACCCTATGATGAATATGATGCAGGAGCTACTTTAAATTTGAAGACTTCTCCAGTTATTCTAGGAAAAATTATCTGCTGCTCACTCACATCTCTAGTTCTTCCAGAGGCCTATTTAGACAGTAGCCGCATATTTCATATTTCTCAGTTTCTGCTGTGATTTCGGTGGTTAGGTGCTAAGCTGAAATCCTAGGGTTATGCTAGAGCATAACCAAGCAAACGGAAAGGGCTATCATGTCAGAGGCCATTGGTAATGTACGGAAAGAAAAAGTCAGTGCTCATCTGAATGAAAAAGGACAAAGATCAAGGGGAAACTTTGATGTTCATATCTCCACCTGGAAAGGTGGGAAGAAGAGGAAAAGACTCAAAATCCTAATGGGGGAATAGAGGAGGGAGGAAAGCCTGGGTCTGGAGATCTGTGTGGGGAGTCTGAGTGGCAAGAACTTAGGAGCGAATCTAAAATATTCTGTGTAGGTGAGAAGGAAATGCTGATCCTAAATGGTAGCATAGGAGAGAAAACGTAATAATCTCTAGTCAAGAGTTTTCCTATGACTTCTTAACTTTCTGTTGCTCATTTCCAAAAGAAAAATACAGCTGGATTATTTTGAAAACCAAAAAAACCCACCAAACTTCTTGTTTTGCAGTTAAGAGATACATCAGGAAAGGCATCCCCAATGAACACCGTGCATTGATCTGGATGATTGTGAGCGGGGCCCAAACCAACATGGAACAAAACCCTGGATATTACCACAGACTGCTTGAAGGAGAGAAGAATGACAAGTTGGTTGAAGCAATCAAAACAGGTTATTGTCTTGATAACACTGTTCATCCGTGTTTATCCGTCCTATGTGCTTAAATGTTAGAGATCAAGTTATGTCATGGAAAACTTATGTTTCTGTAGTAGTGGTTTAAGTGCTGAATTAACATATAAATTAGATTAGCCATAAGCTCTTTAACAGCACAGATCTTTCCAGGTTCATCATGTGGTCAAAAGCATTAAGGAAGATTAGAAATTATTTGGGAAGGAATAAAGAACAAACTAGAAAACATTATTATATTGTCTCCTAAGTGATTGAGGAGTTATGACTTTGTACCATAAGGCCTGCCTTTGGGTCTGTTTCTCCTTAGTTCTGTCTCAACAGGACACTGGAAGAGCAGCAGGGATGGTTGAAGATGTGGTACAGTGTCTCTATGAGGCAGGTGAAGTATGTTAGAATTTCAGCTTGAAGAAAAAGACTTCTGAGAAAAAGTTGCTGATAGAGCTAAAAATTATAAATGGTGTAGAGAGGGTGAATGGGGAGCAATTCTTACTTGTTTCTTGCAGCGTAAGAACCAAGGACACTGAATGAAATTTGCCATGCTGCAGGTTTAGAAGAGTGTATTGCTGAATTGTGGCATTTGTTACTGTAGGCTGCTGCTGAGGCCAGAAATATGAACTGGTTTAAAAAGGAACTTTACAAACTGAGTGGTGGGGAAATCCACCTAATGCAGGAAATCCTAAACACTAAATATAAATCCTTGAAAGAAGGGAGTTCTAGGAGGAGAAATACCCCTCCTTTACTAATCCAGTTTCATATGCGCTGTCTGTGAACATTGATCAGTCGCCGATATTGGTGACAGGGTATTAGGGCAACCAGACCTTAGACTGGCCCACTGGCTGTTTAAAAGAGGCAGTAGGGGAGGCCAAGCAAGTAGAAGTTTGATGTAACTGATATTTTTCCTGAAACTTTTCAACCTGCTGCAGCAGAGCTTTTGTAGAGAAGCTGTTGTTGGTTGAACTGCCCGATTAATGAGTCAAGAGGCTGGGCTGGGCTCTGAGGTGGTTTTGTTAGAATAGCAGGTGCAGTCATCAACTTTTGCTTCTTGAAAAAGCCAGGTAGTTAAAAGTTGGGGCTTTATGGATTTTTATTTGAGTTGGATAATCATATGAACACTTTTTGGTTTATGCTGTTTCTCCTCTGCCTCTCCCTGCAACAGCAGCAGCACTGTGGGCTTTTGGGACTACACGCCTTACTAAGGCATTTTGGAGCATAAACTTTCATGTTCCTATGAATATGAAGACTAGCCAGAAATCTTCAGGCTCATGTCCTGCTCAGAACTAGAAACAATAGAGCTCTAACTACGAATACAGAGGGAGCTACTAAGATGACTTTCCAAAACCAGCCTTGGTAAGAGCCTGGAGAAAGGACCAAACTGTATTCAGTTGGGGTACAATTGCTGCAAGAGGGAGTTGCAGTTTCTTTTCCAGTACTGGACAATGACATGAAGGGTCATATCATGACAGTAGGTGGATTTTCACACAGGTTATACCATGAAATAAAAATATTTCTGTGGGGGAGGAAAAATAATGGAAGAAGATAAAGATCTATTTGTGAATTATGGAGGAAATAAAGTTTTGGAAAAGCTATCGTGTTGACTGGAAAACTGTGGAAGAGAAAACTAACAAGGAGCAAGTGAGGGTAAGGATAAAGAAAAATGGATTGGAGAGTTTATTGGAGGGGAAAAAAATAAAAAGAGGACCTCGGACTCTACAGTGATAGATTTCCCTTCAGAAAGGAAGAAACAATGTGAACATATGAGGGGTGGAAGGAGCAAGGTACTTGCTTGAGGTGAATGGAAACTTCGTGTTTAATAAACTTAGTGCTCCTGTTGACTGCAAATTTTATAGTGGGCTTTAGCTGAGGATTGTTTCAGTGTGAATTGTTGTCTGACCTTCAGTTTGTTTCTGCCTGTGTTGTTTTCCCATCACTGTAGTTGTTCTTAACAGTAAACTGAAGTAAGATGTGAATCTTGCTGCTGTTCAGTTTTCATGCCTGCAGTTTCCAAAATTTTCAGGCAATTGTGCTGTATTTAGTCCTGCAGTCTAGCTGTAAAATTACAGCCCAGGACAATGCTGCGGTTTAAAAACAAGAGAACAGCAACCATGCTTTCTTTTTTTTTTCTGGGGGAGGGGCAGGACAATAAGACCAACCAAAGACTTTATTTCAAATTCAGTTTAAAACATGTGTAAGAGCCAATGTGTCCTGTTTGCCCAGAAGCTCCAATTTTCATGTATGTTTGAAACTTATTTTCAATATGGGAATGTCTTTTATAGGATATAATCAGGTTAAAAAATGCAGGTAGACTGTGTAGAGAAATGGTCTAATCTTTAAAGGAAAATCTGATTAATAAGAGCTAATAAGTCTAAACTACCTTTTCACCATTTCTGCCCTTTAACTTGCTGATTCTTAACTGCTGGGTTTAATTGCCGATTTTGGTTTATATATTTGCTGTTTGAACATACTTTTTTTAGAGAGAAATGTAGGAAAGAGCAGGCTTCTTACTCTAAACATAAAAATAAGAACTTAAAGAATGCAGGTCTCTAAATTTTGATGGAAATTTTCATGGCTTAGTTATGTACACATTTAGAAGGGCACGCATTCCTCCTGAGCTTTGTTGTTCATGCCCTATTATAGTAAAGTTTAGTAGGACAAATTATGTTGGCAGGATAAAATATGGCTGTCCTCCTAATACAAAGGCTACGTGTTGGTTACAGAAAGGCTGGGGTGTAAGCTGACATAGCTTCCTTGCAGCAACTCCCCCCCCCCCCCCTTAGGCTGGACCATTGAATTTCAGAGTATGTATGTCTGTGTCTGCAAGTCCTCTTGCATGCACATGCAGCTAATATCCACGTTTTTACTCCTGTGTTTCATGAGGAGGAGTTGTCAGAGCTGTGAAACCCAGGGTCTGGTATTTATCAGTCAGGCCCCTGAGCCTGCGCTGCACTGAGTGACATAAGGATCTGATTGTGTGGATTGGATAGTTGTTGCAGGATCTTAGTTGAGTTTATGATGGGTTCAGAAAAGTAATTCAAAGAGCCATTGCCACTTCACTGGAGACAGTGAATATTTTACTATCAAACCACCAATAAGCTTCTCTGAATGGGGTGAAACTATTAGTGAAGGTTGGGAATTTTCACGTGAGTTTAGGCCATTTAACCATGCAAGAGCAAGGGTGACAGCAGTGTTGGCTCTTCTGGCTCTCTGTAAGAGAAGCCATATCAGGTCATACCCAAACAGCTACCTCGTCTGGTCTTCTGTCTACCAGAACAGCTAAAGGAAGAACTGGAGGAGTAAAGTATGTAATGATACTTCCTCAGAATATTTTTTCCTAATCTCCAGTTATCCAGTGGTTTGGAGAGTTCCTGAGTCATATGCTGCATGTTTGTAGTTAATAACACTGGATGGGGAAAAAATTCACAAAAAACCTCTGGTTGCTCCTTTTTCATGTCATTTACCTTGCTCCTGATTTTGCAGATCTGTGCTGTCTTGCTCATAAGCACCTCCCTCCAAACTAAGGAGCTCTAGTCTACCTTGTCTTATACTATATATGGTAGCCATTTCATACCTGTGATCTTTCTTGTTGCCATTCTCTTCTGCAGTTTCTCCAATTCTGATAATCACCTTTTGGAGATGAAGGGGACTGGAATTTATGCGGGTGCTTCTCAGATTTATACAGTGGCATTATTGTTCTTTTGTAGGAAATCCTAACCCTGTTTTCTTTCTTGACACCTGCAAGCTATTGAACTGTTACTTGGTGCTGGTGGTGGGGGGTGGTAGGCTCAGTTTCTCTGGTTTTAGTTGATAGCAAATTTGACCTTAACTTAAAAAAATAAACCAAAAAAACCTCAAACCTCCAAAACAATTTCTAGTTCCAGGTGTTGCAGGGAAAAGCTTGAAGATGAGTCCTAAATATCCAGTTACAACAAAATTAAAATACCCTTTGAGTATATTATTTTTACAAGTTGTAATTAATGACCTAACCTCATTATTCTGGAGGTTTGCAGTGGAGTTTTTGAATGCTTGTAGTTGGCAGTTGAGGTGAATTTTTGTTCTGCTCTTTACTAAGTAAAAAAACCCAAAAAACCAAAACCCAAACCTACCTGCCTGGAAGCTCTTTGGAGCAGATGCAAGTTACAGATGTAGCAGTAGCAAAGAAGTGACCTAAGTGGAGTAGAGGATGTTAGTTACAAAAATACTTGTGTAATTTACTGGGCACTGTGCCTGGGAGTGGGAAGCACCTGGATATGAAGTTAAGAACAGAAAGAATGAGATAGCAAGATGAAGAAGGTTGACTTGTAGGTGCCTGACTTTTGAAGCACCCTAAATAAGAAAAGCGCAAGACTGGTACAAAAGCACTAGTTTTCTGGACTGCACATTTAAATCTCTTTGCTCCAGAAATAGCATCAACAGTTGTGATTCCAGGTACCAAAATAGATGTCTGTTTTATAAACTGAGGCTAATGTGGCTTTCTGCCTATGTTTATATTACTGAATGAGAGGTAGAAATACTGCAGACCTGTGAAAGGGGAGAAACAAGCCAGTAGTCTTCTCATGATTGCTGCACAGACATAAATCAATGGGAAAGGAAAGCTGCTGGTTTTGTTTCACAGCAGCATAACACTGCCACCTCACAGCACTGAAAAATCATCTAAAAAATGCTGTTGGAATTCAATCTGTATTTACTGCAAAGGAGTAGCTAGTCTTTTCTTTGTGACCTTCTTCCTGGTCCCATGCCCTTATACCTAGTTTGGTTATAGCCAGCAAATCTGCACACAACCATAAGATGGTCATAGTTTCAGGGTTTATCTAGCAGTATAAAATTCTAATGTTCATTTTCCTGCTTGAAAACAATCCTGATTTTTTTTTCCCGAACTGGACTAGTTGGAGACTGTATTCATTTGGACACTAATGTCTATCAAGAGTGAAGGAGGTATGGATAGCAGGTCAGAGGGTGGGCTGCACGGAGGTGTTTGGGTGTCTCCTCTGGGACAGGTGTAGTAAAATGGGGGTAAGTGCTCAAGTCAAATGAACAGCTCTCTCCTGCTCCTGCCGTTTGCCTTGAGTCATCTCTGGCAGTCATCTTGTAGTATGGCAAAGTATATTGGTCTGTGTGCATTTGGGAAGCGGGTTGACTTCCCTCACCTTGCAGTCAGAGGGGCCTCGGAGCTCAAGGAAGAGAGAGAGCATGCAAGTGGAACAGAAAGGGGAGGATGGAGAGGAAGTGGGACCCCCTGCTTATGGTGTACTCAAGATAATAATCTGGCACAAGGAGTCCTGTGAGACCATGCCCCATATCTTCTATTAAGGGTAGAGACTTCTAGCTCTTGTATCTTGTTTTTGTCCCCATCCTCTTCCCCCAGACTAAAACACTGTTGCTAAATATGAAGAAAAGTTTTAAATCCTTCATAAAATTAGGGGATACTTCCCCCAGTCCTTGTGGGAGAAACATGCTCTGCAATCAGAAAGCAAATTGGAACTGATTCTCTCAACTGCAGGCCTTCCTCAGATAGTGAAATTGAAGATGAGTTCAGTTTGAGTTGTCTGTGCTCTGTATGTGATGGATTTTTCCTACTGCCCCCTCACCCTCATTCTGCATAGCTGAGGCAAAGAGCCATAACTGAAATATCAGCATTAATCTTTTCTGTAACAAATCCAGCATACACTTTAATATTGATTATGCAAATACTATGCTGCTCTTCCTATCAAGAAGAAACAAAACAGATGTATTTATCCTATAACTGGCTGTTGCTCAAGTCCTTTTAAAAATTGTCTTTTTCCTTGTGTTTTTCTTTCTTTTCAGTCACATGAGAGGTGAAGTGAGATATTTCCTTGCCCTCCCGTTTCTGTAAAGGATTTGTTCTCTTTAAAAGGAAGAAACAGGGATTTGTGCGATAATTTTTAATGCTTGTGACTTCCATTACACTACTTGTGATTTTGGGGAGCTTTCTTCCTTTAGTTGCTTACAGCTCAACTTTGTGTCAAAGCTGTAACAGACTTCTTCCTCTATGCAGGAAAAGGCTGATAAGTGATGACTCTTAGGACATAGATATGTGTACAGTAGTGCTGTTACTGATTGATTTTTTTTATTTTTTTTTTAAACTTTAACCCAATTTTTTGTTGTTGTCAAATATAACCAAAACATCTATTCATATTTTATTAATAAGTCTTGGGTTTTAAAAATCTTCAAAATTACTTTTGAATACTATTTTTCTCCCCAGCTTAATCTTCTAAAAATCATCTGCACAAGTCTGGACTAGTGACCTTGGGTTCCCTCTTTATAGAGTGAAACAGGCCAAGAATTAACTCTGCCTATTTCTTTCCGACAACTAAAGGGAGTTTTGGGTGACTAGCTCAAACTTGCGTGACTAATTTTTAGACCTTTGTAAGGAGAGATGAGCCCTACTATTCATGTTTGGTCTGGAAGAAAGGGATGCTTTGAAATGTTAGTAATTGCATAGTCCTTATTTAGTTTAGGATTGAGCTTGAAGCATGTAGGATGTGCTCTGCTGCTTGGATATCAAAAAAATCACTCTTCTTCTTGGTGATCTTGCACCAATGAAGAAACAACTTTTCTCACAGTCGCATCATGGACAAACTTAAAAAAAACTAAAAAGGTGATTTTTATGTGGAAGTCACCAGCTGCAGGAGTAGGACTTTTTGTTTTAGCTGTTTGGGACTGTTTGGTAGAATTTCACTTAATAAATCAGTTGAAAGTTCATCCGTATTTGTTATGAGAATATGCTTTCCTAGAGGCACAGCTCATTTCATGCCACTTGGCTAGATAAATTTGGTATGTGTTGTTCCTGCCACTCTAAATGTCTGGTTTGCTTTCATTTATGCCTTTGCAGTCAGAAGCTGAGAGAGTCCCATCTGCAGGAGAATTTCTTTAGTCCTGCTTGAAATTGATTTCTGTATGCTAGTAGGATTAATCTTTTGAGGAATAGATTATCTTTGAATGCTGATGGCCTTTTAGCCAAAATGGAGGTAAAGCTGTTTCTAAAAATTCTTCCACCAAAACTACAGTTTAGTGAACCATAGTGAAGTTTCAGTTGTACTTCAGAAGAGCTGTACAAGTTTGTTTGGAAAGTGAAGGAGGGAACAGGTCTTAATTTTGGTCTTTTTCGCTTTTGTCTAGACATGAACAGAACATTTCCAGATAATGTAAAATTCCGCAAAACTGCTGATCCCTGTTTGCAGCATACACTCTACAACGTATTGGTAGCATATGGCCATCATAATAAAGCAGTAGGATACTGTCAGGTATGTAATCACTGTTTTTTAAACAATGCTGCATTTCACCAATGGTAGTTGTTCTTGTCCATTTGAATGTGCATTTTTAGAAGCAGATCCATAAACTATTTCTGTTTTTAAAATGGCCCTGGGGGCAGTGGGAATGAATCACTTCAGGCAAGCTCAAATGTCCTTGTGAGTTTGTCTGTGGCCTTTTTTGTGTCTAGATTGATCATGTTTGGTTCCATTTGTTAGCTGCAAAATAAATGTTTTATCACACATGGTCGTATCAAGATTAGTTGCTTTGGAGAGGAAGAGAAAGTAAGCTTGCCTTTCCTTCTTCCTCTGTCCTGCCATCTTTCCCAAAACAGTCCTTGGTATGTACGAGGCATCATGAGATCTCAATTTCCTTTGTTTTCTCTGTCACATTTTTCAAAATATAGGAAGACCAGCATTCATGCAACATCATGAAGTTGGGGGGGTGGTAGCGTTTATTTGGTGCCATCTCCCAGTGTAGACAGGCAAGTAGGAAGAAAATTTGCTTGAAATTCAACCTGATGCTGCTAAGAAGGCAGCTCAAAAAAGCTCTTGTCATCACTGCCGAGTACTGTAAAGTTTCCCATGGGACACAAAGAAGATAAAAGTTGATTCATCACAGTCAAGCAAAAAGTGGCCATCTTTAAGGAGCAATGGGCAAATGTGTTTTCAGTTCACTTAAGTTCTTTCCTCTCTTCCCCTTCCTCATCAAGGATATGTGTGCTAACCTATACCTCATGCTAGTTGAGAAAGCTAGTACAGTAAATATAACAGTTCCAAAGTTAAAAGAATATTAATTGTATTTATTGAAATCTGGAGAGGAGAAGACTTGGAAGAACTTAAACCTAGACTGAAGTCACTAAAAAAAACCTAGATTGAAATCACTAATAAAAAGTCACTTCTTATTTGAAGAATGGGAGTAAAAGAGGAATTAGTTTTATTACTTATATATTTATTAAAATATAATTTTAATATTTTGAGAAGAACAGAAGGGGTAGAACTATGAATACTCTCTTTTGCAAGTGTCAGGCTCCTATATAGAGGTAGTTATATCCACAAACATGCACAACTTCTAAACCATAGAATCATAGAATGTTTAGGGTTGGAAGGGACCACTAGTGGTCATCTAGTCCAACCCCCCTGCAGTGAGCAGGGACACTGCTAACTAGATCAGGTTGCTCAGAGCCCCATCCAACCTGGTCTTGAATGTTCCCAGGGATGGGGCCTCCACTACCTCTCTGGGCAACCTGTTCCAGTGTTTTACCACCCTCATTGTAAAAAATTTCTTCCTTACCTCTAGCCTGAACCTACCCTGTTCTAGTTTAAAACCATTTCCCCTTGTCCTAACACAGCTGGCCCTACTAAAAAGACGTTCCCCATCTTTCCTATAGGCCCCCTTTAGGTACTGGAAGGCCGCAATCAGGTCTCCCCGTAGCCTCCTTTTCTCCAGACTGAACAAGCCCAACTCTCTCAGCCTGTCCTCATAGGAGAGGTGCTCCAGCCCTCGGATCATTTTTGTAGCCCTCCTCTGGACCCGTTCCAACAGTTCCATGTCCTTCTTGTGCTGAGGGCTCCAGAGCTGGACGCAGTACTCCAGGTGAGGTCTCACCAGAGCTGAGTAGAGGGGCAGAATCACCTCCCTCGACCTGCTAGCCACACTCCTCCTGATGCAGCCCAGAGTACGGTTGGCCTTCTGGGCTGCCAGCGCACATTGCCGGCTCATGTCTAGCTTTTCATCCATCAGTACCCCCAGGTCCCTCTCGGCAGGGCTGCTCTCGATCCTTTCTTCCCCCAGCCTGTATTGATACTGGGGGTTACCCCAACCCAGGTGCAGGACCTTGCACTTGGCCTTGTTGAACCTCATGAGGTTCACACAGGCCCACCTCTCTAGCCTGTCCAGGTCTCTTTGGATGACATCCGGTCCTTCTGGTGTGTCAACCTCACCACTCAGCTTGGTATCATCCGCAAACTTGCTGAGGGTGCACTCGATCTCGCTGTCTAAGTCATTGATGAAGATGTTAAAGAGCACCGGTCCCAGTACGGACCCCTGAGGGACACCACTCGTCACCATGCTAGCTTCTACCCAAAATATATGTCCAATTGTTACTAAAAAGTTTTGGTACAGTAACTGTTTAATGGGCTAATCATTGCATTTTAATTTGGCATTATGAACACTGGAGGTGAAAGAAGATGACTTAAAAAGCCTTATGCGATTTCTTTTCACCTCTGGTCTCCTCACAGGATAAATGTTATCTTTTCTGGCCAAATAATTGGAACAAATGTCAACATCTGCTTTCCAAGACATGTTGTAAATCAAGCAAAGTTTCAGGAAATCACCTTTTCTGCTACTGAGGCAGAAGATTTCATCAGGATAGATATAGTGGTACCCACTGCATGATAAGAAAGACCATATAAACACTAGAAAACTCAGAGTGAAAAATGGATTTTTTTTTTATTTTTTTTTTTTCCCCAAGTGTTTTGCAGAGCTTTTACTGACTGAAGGCTCCTCAGGGGACATTTCCATAATGCTAGTGCATTTGTGGTTCTTACTGGCATTTAAGTCTCTCATCTGGGAGCATATTGGGCTTTGCATTGTCATGCTGTGACAGTGATATGGTGTTTACTGCCCTGGTATAACCAGCAAAATTCAGTGTCCTGTGAACATCAGCTCCAGAGCAGTTTTTGTGCATGCCGTGTTAAATGCCAAACAGTCTCTTGTCACTGCAGATGCAATCACTAAGTTAACTGTCAGCATGGGAACAAATAGCTGCCTTCCTAACTAGAAGGCCAAGCACTGGGTAAGGCCATGCACAAGGTCTATCCAAGCTGTTTGTGTAACAACTGCTGTAGCGACTCAAAGCTTGAAAATGCAACATTTGAGAAGATGCAGTGTCCTAATATTTCTTTGTTCTTGGAGTGTTGCAAGGCCTTCTGAGGCGGGACAGGTGAGTCAAATCTGTTGACTAAAAGAAATGAGATCGCAGTTCAGAGAGGAAGTTGCTGCCAGGGGAGTTCTTTTTTTTCAGTAGCTCTCTTCTGGCTCACAGCCATAACTGGCCGCACTGCAGGGTACCCAGAGACCCTGGTGCTGCCTGTGTCAATAGATGTGCTGGAGAACTCCAGCTCAGAGGGAGAGAGAACAGGGAAAAGGCCAAAGAAAGGGATGAAACCAAAGAAGACAATGTAACCAACATCAGCCTTCATAGCCTGTAAATATTTAAAAAATAATTTTCTGTTAGCTTAGGAAGGTTTTGGGGAGGCTTGCACCTCAGAGGCAGCTTTAGTGTATGGTCATACCGATGTGCTGTCTATGTTATTATGGTTGTCAGCTTGTTTCTGACGCAAAAGACATACTTAAAAACTCTTAAGGAAGTGGGCTACTGTGCATGTAAATCCGTAATACTTCCATCACTTAGCAGTGTTATGGTGGATACAAGAAAAAAGGTGCCTGAGACAGAGGTGATGTGTTTACAGGGCATACCAGTTTGTGACCTGTGTGTTCTGTATGCCACTTCTCTAGTCAGAGAGTGTCAGTAACTGTTACAAAAATTGGACAGCTGGAATTTAGCCAGTCATGACTTGACTACTTTTCACAAATTTTCTGGTAGCTCTTCCAGTCCCCCCACCTCGTGGCGTTTACCTTCTGTTTGCACGTTGAAAGGCAGGAGCTACAGTGGCCAGTCATTGACTAATATGTGGAGTACTGGAGGTATTATGGAAGCAAATGATTTGTATACACTCATTCAATGAGGTAAGGAGCAACAGCTTGTAAAAGCTGCTGGAGCTGCAACTTTTTACTAAATAGTGTTTGGGTCAGACATTCTCCTTCTGCAGCCACGCTGTCTACCTGCAGGTGTGTTGTGTTTGTACTGCGCCTCTAATACAGCTGTATTTTGGTTCTGGTCAAAGCAGTTTTCAGTTATGTTGTGACAGGGTTTTGGGATTTAAAAAAAAAAAAAAAAAGAAAGGAAAAAAAGAAGAAAGCTGAAGGTGTAAATTATAGACTAATAAGCTTTTTCTTTTAATTTTCCTCTCCTTGATCTTTGTTAGTAATTTTTGTTAGCTGTTGTCATGCAGGTTTAACAGCTTACTCAACCGGTGGCCATTATTACTAGATTTTACTTAATGTGCCTGCTTGGCAGATCTGTAGTGATTTAGCCCTTAATCGAAAGAAATAAACTAGAAACTCTTAACTGTATACATCTTAAACCCCTTCTTTCTATTTCAGGGCATGAACTTCATAGCTGGATACCTGATTCTTATTACAAGGAATGAAGAGGAGTCCTTTTGGTTGCTAGATGCTCTTATTGGAAGAATATTGCCTGGTATGCTAAAAACATGTATAGTTGTATTTATATATCAGAACTTGGTTTTTATTTTGTCTTTGAATTCTTCTCTGGTTTTAAAAGTTTTAGATGTTAAAACGGACTTGAGTGGACTGAAGTTTGTTTTTTTTTTTAAGGTCCTGGAAACACAGGACAAAGGCAGTACACAGGTGAAACTTGTCTGTTTTATAGTCAGATTTTATGATGGCAGTGCTTTATGTGTATGTTAATTTTCAGTCTTACTTCTCACTCCCTACTTATACCTGCTAGGTAGATGTCTCCTATATCAGTATGATGCTGGGGAACAGGACTTGTGAAGGTGTCTGGGATTTGGCATTTCTGGCTGCAGGAATATGATTTGAGGCACAGATGAAGCAGTGATAGCAGGGCGAAGATGGGAGATGTGCATAATTTGAGCACTGATCCTGCAGTAGGAATTCCCAGTGACTTGGCTGGAGGCAGCATGAGGTTTCTTCAGAGGTATTTGGCAAGGTGGTGGTAGTTTGTTAGGCACAGCAGTTTCTGCTGTGTCCCCCACTTTTGAGCGGAGTTATCTTGGGCGCTACACACATCATGATTTTGCAACACAGCAAACGAATGTCAAAATCCCTGTCTGTATCTGTATGTGAAGTTCTTGTCACAGCTCTTACAATCAATGGTGATCTAGCCAGGCTGGTTAATAGATTCCAGAGGGAAATGCAGCACACCTTAAGCTATAGACAGCATCTACATCTGGTCAGTTCAGTAGCTCTCTAGGTTCCCTTGCCAGGATCTCTGGGTTTGCAGGAGGTGTTTACACACTGAATTTTGCCCCATGTATAAGCTGAATCTCATCACATGTGCGAAGTAATTTAAAACCAGAAGCAGACATTAGGCACAGCTATGTTTTATACTCCGATGAAATACATTTGGGAATGTTCTTTCTTGGGATTTAATTATAGAGGAAGAATGGTTTCATTGTGAATTCCCATTAGCGTTGCACAGAACTGACTACAGCTATACCCTTAATGTAAAACCATACTCAAAATGAAAGACTAATTTTTCTGTAAGAAGGCTTTGAAATTCTCTGTTGGCCCAGTTTTGCTTTGGAAACAGATCTGTTTCCCAAACAGTTAATGCAGTATTACAGTGTCAGCTAAGTGCTGGTAAAGGACATCAAAGTTGATACTTTTATTTCTGCTTCTTTCTGTGCTTGTTTAAGATTAAACAAACAATAAAAAGTATAACCTTTGGTTCCTTATTGAACAGAAGGGAAAGACTTTGAGAATGAAGGGAAAAGAGCTGAGGGAGTCTTTTGCTTCTTTTGAACAACTGTAAGAAATTATCTTTTACACTGAATGCACCCTGTAGGAACTCAGGTTTTCCTTGCATATGAGCAGAGTGGTTGGACTTCATTTGCAGATTGAAAGAGTAGAGACAGGCAGGGAGCGCTATGACTTGTTGAATCAATCTGCAAATATTTGAGGGTTTGCAGCCTTGAAGTTTACTTTCAAGCTATAAAAATAGTCTGAAGACTGTGTCTGTTGCTTTTGTTCAGCCTTGAGAGCTATAAGCTGTGCAAACAGGTAGGAGACTTGAGGGCTGCTGTCTGCCACATGACCTGCTGCTGGCTGACGTCGGTGGATGTCTTTCCATTGACATTGCTGTGTGAGGGATTAGGCCTTCAGTAAAAAGCAAGTTTCACTGCTAAGTGATGTGTGGCAACTTTTGCCGTTAATCTTTTTATAGTCTTATATGGTTTTTTTTATTTGGGGCAAGGGAGTAGATTCAGAATTTTTTATTGGTTTTGGTAGCAACCTTTAGTTGTTCTTGTATATCCTTCTTCTACACTTTGCTGATACCTAAATGACAAAAGTTGCTCCTATTTTTCCCTTAGTTTTTAAATTAATCTTACACCAGTAGCTTTGGTGATGAGAAGAAACTCATAAGGTGGAAGGCAATTACTGTGTATAAAATAGATGTACATTTACTTAAGTTTTAGATATATTTTTACTACTCTGTTGACAGATACATTTTTACTACTGTGTAACAAGAGTCCTGTTACAGATTTTGGCCTGAGTTCAGCACATCCCATACAGGCATCCATCTGAGCTGCTGAAGTTGGAAACGTGTGTGCTTATGTTTCTTTGATAGACAGTGGGGAAGGGGATATCTGATCAGAATTGCTGATCAGAGTGTGTCCCTTTCCCCTCCACAATCAGTTTTAAGAGAGCTTGAAGTGTCCCTTCCAGCTTGGGTGCCTCAACAGGAGCCCAAGTTAGGTAGTACAAATCTTTTATGTAGTAAAAATATATGTATTGAGTTCATTGTCAGAAAACTTGTTACTAATGCTCTCCCCCTTGCCAATTAAAAAAAAAAAAAAAAAATCCCCTTTTATTCCCGCTACCCTCCTATATCATGCTTGAATTCTACATTTATGAAATTCAAAGCATGATGGATGAAATAATTGGCGTAACTTCAGTGAAATATTGCATGCATATATGTGAAAGACAGACAGGCAGACTGCATCCATAAAGAAACTTACTCTGGTAAGTACTGCTCTTCTGTTAACAGCGTGAGGTATAGTGCATTTCAGATTGAAGCCCTATAACTATTTGTTGGGAAAGCAGAGAAACATTGTATATTCTCCAGATCTTCAGAGAGAAAAGTAGCAATCATTTTTAGTTGGATGTTAACAGCTTGATTGGCCAATATTTTTCCTTTAGTTTCGTACTTGATGCTCTTTTCTTAATCTGTTTGCATTGTAATCTACATGTTTTCCCCTTTCATTGCATCAGATATGCCTCCAGGTCGTGTCCTCATTTTTGAGTGTGTCCTGTCACTGCCAGTTAAATCAGTGATGATTTAGGACAATTTAGAAATCCATTCTCTGCCCTCTGCAGTGTCCCTATGAATGCTTCCTTCCCCTGGCCCACACTCATTTAATTACATTAAACAGCCGCTCCAGTACCTTGATGCTGACAGCATTTTTTTGGTCAGCAGATGAACCAAGCCAGCCACAGATCAATGTCATTGACTGAAAAATGTAGAATGTGACAGATGGGAATATTAGTGGCAGCTTTCTAGGGAAGTGACAGAGAAGGGCTCCTGAAGCTATGGCTCACCTCCCCGCTTGTACTGTTTCTTAGGTCTGGGTGGAGGTATGTACCATAGGTTATGATGAAGGTGTGACTGCTCCACGCGCTGACAGGAGGGGGACAGCTTGGGAATGGGACCCCATCAGTAGTGGTTTTCTGGCTGAATTGTTCTGTGACGTGCAAATGGAGTTAGCACAGCTGCAAGAGTGAGCCAGCAAAAATTACAATTTGGGTTTGTTGGTATGTGGAGTTCTGCGCGCGCCACTCGCCTGGCTGAATGTAGCACTGCTGGGTACAGCCGGGTGAGGCCA